CTGCCAGGGCTCCGGCCGAGCCGCGCTCGGAGCCGGGCGCTCACAGCCCGCCCGGGAACCCGCTGCCAAGGTCCAGTAACGTCGCCACTAGTGGAAATGCACTTCCAAAATAGATATATATATATATATATCGTATACATACATATATATGTTATACATACACACACACACATATATATGTATATATGTCTATCTATATATACACATATAGGTTTGAGAGGCAAGCTGCCAAAGTAGAAAACATCCCTTTATCTAGTTCATATTATGTATGTTAAAGAAATTAGATTTTTAGCCCATGACATTTTCTTTAAAAATGAGTATTTAAGATCTTCAAAAATTGCTACAGTACAAAAAGTGTTTGTGTGTGTATATATATTTTCTCTCTATATATAATATGTATGTATAGTGACCAGAATTAAATGACTACCAGGAGAGATGCCGCCCCACCCGTTTCCTCTAACATCTCTATGTGTTATTGACTTAGCTTCGGCTTCTCGCGAAGTCTTTGCATCAGTACATGGCACATAACGGTATTATTGGCACAGGTTCAAATTCTTAGTCCGTATCCCGAGCTCCAGGCTTTCGGTCTCGTCCCTTTTTCCTCCTCAGTTTCCTCCTTCTTCACAGCATCCTTCGTTCGCACATTTTTTTCTCTTCTCCAAAAAATGCGCTCTTTGAAAAACGCAGTTACCTATAGGCGTGTTCATTTCTATAAAAATATATTTGGCCCATAGATGCTGCTCTTTGAGTCTCCTACTGGTGGACACAAATGGGAGGTACGGGAAACCCATTAGTATTTTTTTACAGGTTCGCCAGAGGAATCCTGTCAAGGACGAGAAGAAAAGCAGAGATTAAAGCAAGCGGGCGCCACGCGGACGCCACGCACGCGGTGCTGCGTCCAGCGCGAGCGCCCCGCGCCGCCCCGTTACCAGCGTGGATCCGCGGAGCACGGAGCGCCTCCAAAGACAGAAAAGCCTCCGCGGTTGTTAAGCCCTAATTAATTACATGTTCCACGCTAATTCATGCTTCCCCAGGGACGGCGGCAATGCCACCACCCCGCAGGGCTGTCCCCGCAGAGGCGCAGGAGCGGGCAGCACCGTCCTCGGCATGGGTGGCACATGGGGACACGCAGAGGGCTGCGCCTGGGGGCCAAGCAGGACCCCGAGTGCTTCCCACAGCAGCTCCCTCCCCTCGCCAGGTCTGCGGCGGCTCCTGGAAGAGGCACAGCCAGAGCCGAGGGGCCGGGGAGCGCGGCCGGCCGGAACGCCGCGCGCTCCCGCAGGCTCCCGCACCACAAACTCCAGCATCCCGAGCCGCCACTCACTCCTGCAAGAGCGATGCGCCACATTTACATAGTTCTGCATGAATGCTGTTTATTTAGGACGTAAAATTTATATTGTGTTACAAATAGCCTCCTTCTGCAAAGTAGGTCAGCACTGGAGCTACCTTACAGTTTTTTTGCATAATCCTTCTCTTTTCTTATTACTACTCATATTTTTAGGCCCGGAGGGTGAGCGCCCTGGCTCACGGACAAGAGGAGCCACCGGCCCGGCTGCCCGTGGACCCTCCTGGGCTCCAGCAGC